GTCGCCGCCCCCCGGAAGGAGCAGCGGGGAGGGGGGATCCGGCCCTCCGCCCCTCCCCTCGACTCCCTGGAGCAGCAGATGGAGAAGGTGTGGCCGTGGGCCGGCGGGGATGTCGGGGTCTTGGCAGGGGAAGGGGATCCAGGCATTAACCAGCCCCTTGCTGCCCCCCTGACAGGCGCAGGAGGACGCATCCCGGTTGCGTGGCATCGTGCTGCCCATGGAGGAGGAGATCGCTCAGCTCAAGGCCAAGCTGGGCCGGGCCGAGGCCCTTATCCGGGACTTGCGCAGGGGGCAGGTCAGCTGGGGGGGCAGGACCCAGGGGGCAGTGCCCCTCACTGCTGCCCCACACCCCCAAGACAGTGTGCCTCCTTCCCGACCCCTAAGCCTCCTCCGTCGCCCCTTCCAGTGCTCCTCACTTCTGATGTGCAGCCTCCCCCAAGCCCCCATCGCTCCCTGGTGCCCTCCACTCCTGGCCTGTAGCCTACCTTCATTGCCCCTCAGCAACGTCCTGTTCTCCCAACCTGCAGCCTGCCTGTGGCCCCTGGCAACGCCCCTCACTCCTGATCCACAGCCCCTCGCGTCACCCCTTGGCGATGCCCCCACCCCCTCCCTGACAATCTCTGTCCCCACAGAGCTCCCTGGGTGGCTCGTCCGAGTCCCTGCTGTCTGAGCCTGGGAGGCCGGAGCCCGAGGAGGAGGAAGAAGAGGAAGGGGAGGGCGGGGTCCTGGCCTTTGCCCGGGGGGGTGACAGCCTCTCCATCGGTGGCTCCCCCCGGCCTCGCCGGCCCAGCCCAGACCCCAGTCAGGGCCCTGGCCCAGGGGAGCAGGACGACACGGCCTCACTGGTCTCCACAGCCACCCTGGTCCCTGAGAGCATCTACCTGCCACCCCCTGGCTTCCAGCTGGTGCCTGCCGCTGAGTGGGGGCAGCTGCAGCTTGAGGCGAGTATGGTAGTGAGGGGGGTGGGGGTGAAGTCTAGGGGGGTCCCCTTGGGCTGTGACCTCTGATCCCTGCCCTTTGCCCCATCCAGGTGAGGCGGCAGCAGGAGCAGCTGGAGGCTGCCATGCAGGAGAAGCTGGGGCTGGAGGAGGCACTGAGGCGCAGCAGCGAAGACTGCAGCAAGCAGGCGAGCCCCCTCCCCAACCCCCTGGTGGTGCCCTCTCCCAATCTGCAGCCCCTCCCCCAGCACCTCTGGGGCATTTGGGGTTGTCCTAGACTTCCCTTTTCCCCCCCAGGTTCAGGTGCTGCTGCATCAGGTCCAGAGGTCAGAGCAGCTGTTGCAGAACCTGCAGGTGACTGTGAGCCAGACCCAGCACCGGACTCAGGAGCAGCTGGTGCGTGGGGTGGGGTTCATCCAGGGTGAGGGGGAAGGGGTGTTCGCCCTGCTGCTCACCCTGTTCTCTCCCATCGCAGGCTGAGCTGGCGTTGGCCCACAAGCGCCTCAGCCATGAGGTTCAGCGCCTGAGCGAGGAGAATGAGGGGCTCCGGGACACCCGGCCCCACCTGGCCCCTGGTGATGGGCACCCGGAGCTCAGCTCCTCCCAGGTACCTACTGCAGGACAGGATCAGGGTGGGTGCCCCCACCTCAGAAACCGCAGGCCCTGGTGTGCAGGGGTTGGGCTTGGGGCTGATTGAGTCTCAACCCCCAGGAACTGTTGCGACGGGCAGAGGAGCACCAGGTCGAGCGGCTGCGCATTGAGATTGTGGTGCTGCGGGAGCAGCTGGAACAGGAGGTGGCAGCTCGGGGCCAGCTGCAGGCCCAGCTTGACAGCCGATGCGATGACAGCCGTAAGCGGGGGCGAGGGACAGGTCTGCTCTACCCCCCTCCCTTCCGCCAGCTGCAGTAACCTCTCTCTTCTTTCCCTGCCGGGCTGGCAGAGCTCATGGAGGGTAAGTGGGGCTGCGTGGGGTCAGGGGATGCAGCTGTATGAGGTTATGGGCCGGCACCTACAGCTCACCCCTGCCCTCTGTGTTTCCTTCCCCCAGCGTCACTGTGCAGCGTCCGGTCGGAGATGGAGCGGCTGCAGCAGGCCCTGGGGCAGGTAAGCAGGGGTGGGAGGCTTGGGGGCAGCTGGCTGGGGCTGGAAGGGTTGGGGGGCCTGGTGGGGTGGCTGCTGGCACAGCACTGTGGGGTGGGGACAGGAGGGGTGAGGGTGCTGGGGCTGTGGGGGTAGTGGTGTG